TGAATTCACATAAACCAAACCTCTATACTAGGTAACCGAGAAAATAAAGTAAATGATCAGTACTTACCGAGATACGCTGCCGCTCCAATGGACTGCACGGTGTTTGCTCGTGTCAGAGTCAGCAATGACTGAAGTAGACTAGTCTATGGCACGTTTATATAGTGACTGAATGGACAGAGGTAAAACCAGTTTAGTGGGTCATACAGTACTTGGTGAACAGACAAATGTTAACACACTTTGATTTGCATAGGAGAATATCAGACAATGTCTATTAGACAAAACATGTCTAAAAGTGAACGGAAATGAGGGAGAAATGAGCCTTTTTTTTCAATGTGGACATTAACTTCATAACTATTTATAAAAGGATACGTTTGATTTTCATCTATGTGTGTATGATGATATTTTGTCAATAAAAACGGAACGGACTTCTCTAAGTCTCGAAGATTGAAGTATACAAATTGTCGTGTATACCAAGAGACAGAAAGACAAATTTCTTTCAGGTATATTGAAAAACACACATCAAAAGAAAACAGCACTTAGCGACTTATTACTAGTATCATTCATAGTTGACCCGTGATTACGCTCGTCCTCCACTTTGAGCCGTGTGGGGGGTGTAATTTCTCTCAAATCTGAATCTATTCAACCAGAAGTCCCGTGAGACCGCACGGCCGGTTTGAGTGGTGGAACTACTGTAATTCACTTTGAGTTTAGTAATTACAGTACTCTCCAATCAGAGGTTGTGGGGAATGATCGTTACCTTTTTATATATGGTCGTTTTGTTTTTGTTCTGATCCCCACCGTGGCTGCAGACCTTCTCTGGCTAATGGATACTGCCTGGCCAATTTGATACTGTCTTTTTGCCACCGAGAGGGATCTGCTTGGAGATTATGGTGGAACGGGAAGAAATGAATTATTCCAAACGTTTAACAAAAGAGTGACCCGAAACGAGGACAGATCTAAGGCCATCTAAGGCTTAAAGACACTTCAAGCTTCACTCAAGCACAAGGCAAGAGTTAAATACCTAGAGAGACTTAAAGTAAAATAATTTGTCAGTTGGTACGACGAAGATGGCTGCAATACTGTATATCAAAGCAGTTTAGTAAGTCCTCGTGGGAAGCTGGCGACTGAATGAATGGTGCCTTGTGAATGCGGACCCCCAATGCGGTGGTCAGTCAGACGGATAGGTTTGTTGCTATGTCAACTGTCGCGACGGAGCTACTGGGAAAAAGACTTTTTTGTTGCCGAACGCTTTGTCTCCGCTCCGTTTCTCCGCTCTGAATGCGGAACGCGGAGCGGAGACAAAGCGTTTACGGATGGATTCTAGTCTCCACCAGACTTCTTTTGCGGGGTGAATAAATCGTAGAAATCGGCCTAAAAAGGGTATTAATTGGCCAGAGAAGGTAGCCGGCAAAAGAAGCTCCATTTCCCCGCCTTGCCGGCTACCTTCTCTGGCCAATTAATACCCTTTTTAGGCCGATTTCTACGATTTATTTACCCTGCAAAAGAAGTCTGGTGGAGACTAGATGGATTCCGGGCTATTCTGACAGTGGACACCATGTCTGTTGCCATGCCGGAAGGTGGACGGCAGATAACTATGAAGAGAGGACAAGAAAAGGCCCTGATTTAATGTTTTGCTTCTTACTTTGATGCAGTGAAATGTTCCTACTGAATCAAAACCATTTGTACAATGATTGACTCAAAATTTCAAAATGTAGGAGCCTTGTTTTTATCGGCTCGCCTAGTTTTTTTTCGCCCGCTCGCATTGGATTTGGAGCCTGCGGATGTCATCCATAAAATTTACTTGCTGTGGCCTAAGTACTAGTAGGAATGATTTATTTGTTTGTACATGTTAGCTCATTTTACAACGTCACCTAAATGAATACAAACATGTGCAGCCAGTTAACAATGCTTTACGTGTATTTATTTTCTTTTTGCACCATGCATATCATTATAACCTAATGAAAACAACTTACACTATGATTTGACTTATCAAGCTGTATAAATAAATATTTACAACCAGGACTGCCCAACTAGCCAGAGGCTATTGTAAATGGCTACCCCTCATAACAGGACAATTAGAACAATTAGAAGCAATATAGACAATGTGATCTTTACAATTCAGATACATTAACATATCATTAGGTAACATATAAGTCACTCTAAGTACGGAGGCGGCGTGTGTTATTAGCCAAGCTAACGCTAACAAGCTAATCAAAGATGTCTGTGATAATTATAGCAATAATTATAGCAATAGCAATAATTAGCCAAACGCTAACAAGTTAATTGAATGTGTCTGTGCTGAATACCATGCGTTTGCTATCTATACAATATCAAGGCACATTAACACAAAGAACTTATCTGTACTCCTATACTAATAACAAGCTATCTTTTTCTATTACAACATGCAAACAATACAATACAATACAATACATAGTGGTGACGCACTCAAGCAATATGCTCATATTCACGTCACCACTAGATACAAAATGAAAATTACAACACAAAACGTGGGTAACGTCCAGGTAACAAGAAAACAGAGTTTAGCTATCAAGATATTATAGATTAATACAGAACTCTAAATCAGTTATTAAATCGCTTAGTTTCAGAAAGCTATCTAAAAGCAACCAGCTACCTAAAAGCAACAAGCTATCTAAAAGCAACAAGCTATCTAAAAGCAACAAGCTATCTAAAAGCAACAAGCTACACTGCACGAAAAGTTAGATTTACCAATGGCAGTAAATACCAGTAGTGCTAAGTAATGTTTACTTTGTTTATTTCAATAAACACTACTGACTTTACAATGGTTGTAAATAAAAGTCCAGTACGGTTATTTTGGACTTAACAGGGGTTGTAAAGGAAATTACTGCACTTGACTTTTTTACTACCATTCTAAAGCCAGATCTTGTATACAATAAGTAAACATTACCTGAGTTTACTTCCTTTGGTAAATCCAACTTTTCGTGCAGTGCTACCTAAAAGCAACAAGCTACCTAAAAGCAACAAGCTATCTAAAAGCAACAAGCTATCTAAAAGCAACAAGCTACCTAAAGCAACAAGCTGCCTAAAAGCAACAAGCTATCTAAAAGCAACAAGCTACCTAAAAGCAACAAGCTATCTAAAAGCAATATAGCCTAATCGCAATGCTTTTACTATATTTACATGGTCAATATAATACAGGGTTTACTAAGTAGTTATCAGACCTTCTTGAGATTGCAATAAGATGATACAATGTGGGTACTAGGCAGTTACTAAGTTCACAACATGTAAATAACTGTACAATGGGGTTTAAGGACGGAGTTTTTTTTTACATTTTTCTACCTGTATATTGCCCTGTGTAAGAAAGAGTTTTTCAGTCTTTTTGTACAGGCTGCTGGTACTGTAAGTGCAGTTCCATTTCTTAAGGTCCTCCCAGTGGCCGTTGTCCTGGCCGGTGGAACCAGGTCATGTAGGTCATATGCGCGACAGATGACATATGTTTAAGTCGCTGTACTTTTTGTTGTGTCAATAAAGTTCTCTCTCTCTATGTTTATACATGTGGGGCTTTTGTGAGGTGTCTGTTTAAGGTCCGCTTTGTTACAAAGGCAACGTCGCACTGGTCACACCTGTAGGGTTTTTCTCCGGTGTGCTTTCTCATGTGCTTCGTTAGATCACACTTTTGGTTCGTCCTATAATCACAGATTCCACACATGTAGGGTTTTATACCTGCGTGTTGGGCCATGTCATGTGCCGCTCTAGGTGGCTTTTTTGTATAGTGGAATAGTCACACTGGTCACAGTTGTAGGGTTTTGTAGCTAAGTGTTTTTGCATATGTTTGGTAAGGGCGGATTTGACAGCCGTGCCGTATCCACACTCCTCGCACTTGTAGGGTTTTTCCCCGGTATGGTTAGCGATGTGTGTGGCTAAATGACCTTTCTGTGCACAAGAATAGTCGCAATGGTCACATTTGTAGGGTTTCGAAGCTAAATGGGTATTGACATGTTTGGTAAGGCTAGACCGGCTAACTGTCCTGTATCCGCACTGCCCGCACATGTAGGGTTTTTCTACCGGTGTGTTTTAACATGTGGTGATCCAAATCGTATTTGATCACTGCCGAATAGTCACACTGGTCACATTTAAATGGCTTCTCACTCGAATGATGTTTTCTCAGATGCATGGATAGGTTAGACTTGAAAGCCGTCCTGTATTCGCACTCGTCACACTTGTAGGGTTTGAGTCCACTATGACTCGCCACGTGTCGCTGCAAGGATGTCAGATGTGCAGTAGAATAGTCGCACTAGTCACATTTTGTACGGTTTTTCTCCCGTATGTTTTCTTATGTGATGGGCTAGGTTAGTCTTGGCGGAGCACCTAAACCCGCACTCCCAACACATGTNATACTAATAACAATCTATCTTTCCTATTACAACATGCAAACTAATACCATACATACAATACATAGTGGTGACGCACTCAAGCAATATGCTCATATTCACGTCACCACTAGATACAAAATAAAAATTACAACACAAACGTGGGTAACGTCCAGGTAACAAGAAAACAGAGTTTAGCTATCAAGATATTATAGATTAATACAGAACTCTAAATCAGTTATTAAATCGCTTAGTTTCAGAAAGCTATCTAAAAGCAACCAGCTACCTAAAAGACAACAAGCTATCTAAAAAGCAACAAGCTATCTAAAAGCAACAAGCTATCTAAAAGCAACAAGCTAACCTAAAAGCAACAAGCTAACCTAAAAGCAACAAGCGATCTAAAAGCAATATAGCCTAATCGCAATGCTTTTACTATATTTACATGGTCAATATAATACAGGGTTTACTAAGTAGTTATCAGACCTTCTTGAGATTGCAATAAGATGATACAATGTGGTACTAGCAGTTACTAAGTTCACAACATAGTAAATAACTGTACAATGGGGTTTAAGGACGGTAGTTTTTTTTACTATTTTCACCTGTATATTGCCCTGTGTAAGAAAGTAGTTTTCAGTCTTTTGTACAGGCTGCTGGTACTGTAAGTGCAGTTCCATTTCTTAAGGTCCTCCCAGTGGCCGTTGTCCTGGCCGGTGGAACCAGGTCATGTAGGTCATATGCGCGACAGATGACATATGTTTAAGTCGCTGTACTTTTTGTTGTGTCAATAAAGTTCTCTCTCTCTATGTTTATACATGTGGGGCTTTTGTGAGGTGTCTGTTTAAGGTCCGCTTTGTTACAAAGGCAACGTCGCACTGGTCACACCTGTAGGGTTTTTCTCCGGTGTGCTTTCTCATGTGCTTCGTTAGATCACACTTTTGGTTCGTCCTATAATCACAGATTCCACACATGTAGGGTTTTATACCTGCGTGTTGGGCCATGTGCCGCTCTAGGTGGCTTTTTTGTATAGTGGAATAGTCACACTGGTCACAGTTGTAGGGTTTTGTAGCTAAGTGTTTTTGCATATGTTTGGTAAGGGCGGATTTGACAGCCGTGCCGTATCCACACTCCTCGCACTTGTAGGGTTTTTCCCCGGTATGGTTAGCGATGTGTGTGGCTAAATGGCCTTTCTGTGCACAAGAATAGTCGCAATGGTCACATTTGTAGGGTTTCGAAGCTAAATGGGTATTGACATGTTTGGTAAGGCTAGACCGGCTAACTGTCCTGTATCCGCACTGCCCGCACATGTAGGGTTTTTCTCCGGTGTGTTTTAACATGTGGTGATCCAAATCGTATTTGATCACTGCCGAATAGTCACACTGGTCACATTTAAATGGCTTCTCACTCGAATGATGTTTTCTCAGATGCATGGATAGGTTAGACTTGAAAGCCGTCCTATATTCGCACTCATCACACTTGTAGGGTTTGAGTCCACTATGACTCGCCACGTGCTGCTGCAAGGACGTCAGATAAGCAGTAGAATAGTCGCACTGGTCACATTTGTACGGTTTTTCTCCCGTATGTTTCCTCATGTGATGGGCTAGGTTAGTCTTGGCGGAGCACCTAAACCCGCACTCCCAACACATGTGCGGCTTTTCACCGGTGTGCTTTCTGATGTGACGGGTTAGCGCAAACTTGGTGGTCGTCTTGTAACCGCAATCTTCACACGAGAAGCGTTTCTCACCGGTGTGTTTGAGCATGTGGACGTTTAAAGTGCCTTTCCGCGCAGCAGCAAAACCGCACTCTTCACACTTATAGCGTTTATCGCCCGTATGTTTTGTGATATGTCGGCACAGATCAGATCTGCTAGCCGTCCTGTATCCGCACTCCCCACACATAAATGGTTTGAGTCCTGTGTGTCTTCTAATCATGTGCTGGGCCAAGTCCTCTTTCCGTGCAGTAGAATGGTCACACTGGTCACATTTGTACGGTTTCTCGCCCGTATGATATCTCATGTGTACAGTTAAGTAAGGTTTGCTGACCGTTCTATAGCCACACTCGTCGCATACGAAGCGTTTGTCACCAGTGTGTTTCTGAGCCATGTGTTGGTCTAGATTATATTTCAGCTTAGCAGAATGGTCGCACTGGTCACACTTAAATGATCTTTCACCGGTGTGTGTTGTCATATGCCTAACTAGGCTAGACATACAAGTGGCCACGTACTCACACTCACTGCAAGGTAGTTTTCTGGGTCTTTCTCTAACAGTTTGTATTTTCCCATGTATGTTTTTCATATGTACAGTTAACCAAGTCTTGCTCATCGTTCTATAGCCACACTCCTCGCATATGAAGAGGTTGTCACTGGTGTGTTTAGCCTTGTGTACGTCTAGAGTATATTTCGCCGTAGTAGCAAAGTCACACTGGTCACACTTAAATGGTTTGTTACCGGTGTGTTTTGCCATGTGCTTAGCTAGGGCAGCTTTACAAGTGGCCATGAACTCACACTCACTGCATGCCTCTTTTCGGACTCTTTTTCTAACAGGATGTGTTTTAGACGGGGTCTTGCGTCTTTTATGGGCTTTTGCATGTTGACTTGACGATGCCTTCTTGTCGGATGCATTCTTTCCGTCCTTCCCGCTTTCCTTCTTGTCGTCAGTATGTGCTGTAGACGTGCCTTCAGCAGAAAGCTTGGTGCTTGTCTTGTCCATTTCGTGACCTAAATGAAGAAAATAAAATAAAAAGATTGACGGTGTTATGATTTGAAGCATAATGCGAGAAGTTTGGTAATAAGGTGGCTTAAAACTGTCTTGCCCGTTACCGTTTATTACCCTTGTCTTATTGAAACTTTAAAAAATGATATCTAGATCAATTTATTCCTATTTTCCCTGTAGATTTCTTGCTGTGTGCAAGGGGTACCAGTACGTACCAGTGTAATGGCTGTAGTTTCCACGCATTTCGCTAGAGGGCGCAGCTGCTTGGACGCCTCATCTTTCGTGAGGATATGAATGGGGGGATCTGAGTAGCCTGACGCGCTAGCCAGGCCAGGTAAACAGACGAGGTAGTCAGGCCTGGCAGGCACCCAGGTTTTCCGTAAACCCATAAATTAATTAACGCCATCAATATGCGGATGTTTATGTTGTTAAGGTGACCCGGCCTTAAAAATTCGGGCAAAGGCCACTCATCCCAGTAAGCACTTAACATGTCTTAGTAACCTACTAAGGTTCTTGTAGGGTCTAAATATCAGGTAGATAACTTTTGACTAACTTTTTTTTTCTTTCTGACATGGCCTATATACTATTCTGTACGTTTATCTGTAAGCTTGCACGTCTACTTTGCTATACGAGTATATCCTATTTTATACATGCATGAACGTGGCTATATACACTCCCGGAGTGTATATAAAATCTATTTGTCTTTTATATACACTCCCGGTGTGTATATAAGATCTATTTGTCTTTTATATACACTCCCGGAAAGTTGATAGGGCATTCGAATGATCTGTCGCCGGTGCGAAGACCGCGCGATCGGCTGTGTTATCCGGAGTCACCAAAGGGACCGGGGCGAACCCCGGGTTGGTCTTTGTCTGATAAATGCACGCCAGACCGTGAGGTCGGCGCTTCTTCCGCATGTATTAGCTCTAGAATTACCACAGTTATCCATGTAGGATGTGACGATCAAAGGAACCATAACTGATTTAATGAGCCATTCGCAGTTTCACTGAGACAGTTTAAACTTGCACGTGCATGGCTTAAACTTTGAGACAAGCCTATGACTACTGGCAGGATCA